TTTCAAATATCCAGATGCGTTGCATGAGAAAAGTGACCCCCTGACTGGTTTAAGCTGTTGGTAGACTGAACTCTTATTACACTGTTACTGCAATTGAGTACAATCTTCAGTAATATTCCTGTCCTTCCAATGTGCCATAGCAGACCAGAGTGTTAGCTTGTAGGAGTCACACAGTAAACTTAGTGTTACATCTTCTCTACATTATATTATTCCATTTATTCTGGACTCGTCTATCCCACCTTTTTTTTTTTTTTTTTTAAAAAGATGTGTTTATTTATGCATACAAGAACTGGGGTACAGGCCAGAGGTGTGGGGGGTGAGAGGATTCACCAGAGACAGAGTAGGGAACAGAACAGGCAGATTGACTAAAATACACTGCTGAGGGGAGCAGCAGGCGAGTCAAGAGAGGTCTGCTGCACCATGTGGGTAACTCCCTGCATGGGGATCAAACTTGTGCTGCAGTGGCTGCCGATAGCTTCATAGGTTGCATCTTAACCCCTTGTGCCACTAGGGAGGCCCTATCCCATCTGTTTTAAACAAGAGCAAAAGTTGGAATGCAGTTTAGAATGAATGGTGTTGCTCTAATGTGAATTTCAATATGTATTGAGTGACACATAAACTGAGTGCTCTAAATACAATAATAAGTGAGACAAGATACCTGCTTTGGGGGAGCTCTTAGTTGGGGAGACCATATGGAAGCACTTATGGTCAGCATAATGTGTGAAGGCCTTTGATAAAAGTCTGCGGTGCTATGAGAACCCAAAGAAAAAGGCAGGAATGAGTTAGCTTTGATTGTATATAAGCCACACCAAACTTAGTGGCTTGAAACAGCCACTGTTTATATACTTCACGGTTCTGCAGGTCACCAATTTGGGCTGCAAACCACTTTTAGTCTCGCTCGTGCTGGGTTGGGCTGGTCTAGAGTGGTCCCCACCAGAAGGACTCACAATCTCTCCTTCGCCAACAGCCTGGCCTGGCTTATTGATGTGGGCCCCTGGCAGGGTTCCAAGATAGAGGCCTCAGCATGAAACTGGCACTTCTGTTGGCCAGAGCCAGACACAAGCATAACCCACACTGAAGGGGGTGGGCTGGGGAAGTAGGCTCCATCTTTTCATGATGAGACGAACTGCAAGTTCTGTCACTGTGGGGCACTCAACAAGAGTTGGGACATGGACATGTTGCGGCCATCTTGCAATCTGCTGTGGAAGGGCCTCCAAGGAAACAGGGGAGAGGCACCGCCACAGCTTTCTTAAAGGATTTCATCTCCTATTTTAAATCTACAAGATAGTGACATGCTCTTTTCAATTAGCATTTAATAAAAGTGATACCATCGGTCACCATCAGTTCTGGAATAACTTTCCATTATTGCTGATTTCTACTCCTCCCTTATCTGTTGAACATTTGGTTTAAAAATAACCCACAAGAAAATATCAGCCTGAGGAAGGAAAAGTTGCACATCAAGAAGTGCAGGATTGAAATGGTGGTTGGACTTCTTTAATCCAGCATTTCTCATGGACCATTTCAAGGGGTTCCTGTCCCTCAAACATTCCATAATTAAAAGGTCACATGAGCACATCTGTTTGAGAGTTATCAAGAACAGCTTTTCTCATCTTGAAGATTTACAATGTAGAGTAAGAGTTTAGGCCCTGGAAAGTCCTGGCCTGAAGGTATTTTTGCTATTTAATTTAGTTAAGACATCTCATTGATGATAAAGTTAGAATCAAACCCATTGTGGGTTTAATTTTTACTTGGGCCTTAGTGCCACCACTACCTCCAACACTGCTCAGTCATTGTCTTCACATTTCCCATTATCTTGGCTTTTTGTTGTTCTTGTTTTTGGTTTTTGTTTTTATTATTTTTCCCATTATCTTAAGAAAATGGAAAATAGAATAGATGAACAGTATAAGCAAAATGCAGTGTTGTTTGGTTGACTGTAAGGAAAGACTTGTTTTTTAAATAGTTCAATTTTCATTAAAATGTTTTTGAAAAAAAATAGCAAATTTAAGGGAAAAAAATAGCACTGTATACTTTTTCTAATCATTCAAATACTTTTTTAATAATAGGTAGCATTCCCATAAAGCTTATTATAGTTCCAGATATGTTCAAAGATATGTTCCAGGTGTGTTTATGTGAATTCACATTTTTAATCCCCCCAATGAAGCCCATTAGTACAAATGGGGGAGTCACTCTTCCCATTTTACAGGTGTTAGACAGCTATTGAGGTGAAGTAGTGTGCTCCATTCCACATGGTGGGGGTGCATCATTATTCGGTTGCCTGGCTCCCAAGTTCGTATTCTTTGACCATCACACGTTGTGCTCAGCTTCCCTCACCTGAGTGCACAGTGCTATAGACAACATACTCATATGTTTAAATAGAACGTTAAAAATGATGTACCAGGGAGGTGCCCTCCATTTTTAGAAATCTGTCCCTAGTGCCTTAAATTAGAAAGTGTTTTAACACAGAAAATGAAAATGCCTGTTGTTTCTATTGATGGCTTGTCCTCTAATGCAGGCCGTGGAAGCATTCCCACATCCGGGGAATTATGTTGTTGTTTTGGAGATAGTTCATCTCCCAGGAACTCCTGTTCCACTTGTCTTTGACAAAGATGAACAAAGCTTTATCAGACTTTTGATAATACCAAAACATCTAAAGGATAATATCATTCTACTTTGGATTTGTAAGATCTGCCTTTTCAAAGAAAATCTTGGTGGAAAATAAGTTTTTAAGGTTCTAGCAAACAAGCATTTGTTTCAGAGGAAGAAATTAATAAATTAGGCCTTTTAATGTTAGATTAAAATTATATTATCTGCCACAAATCCATGCTACCACTGGACATATCATGTCAGGTTTTTGTTGTGGTGGTTTTTCTTTTTCTGCTATTGATGGTGGAGGAAGCTATGCAGAATGAATATGAATGAAGAGATAGAGAAAGAACATGAGTGGAGATACTGTAAATTGTCTGCTGTGAAGGACCTTATGGGCACCGAAACAACATGGCCTTATGTAAAGCAGTGGTTCTTCACCAAAGGTCCACCTTGTCAGGTCAAGGACACCCCTCTCTTCCTTTTTATATTTGCTTCCCTTTTTATATTCATCTATCAAGTTATATGAGAACTTAGTATCTCTCAACAAGTGTTGGACACACACACATACCCCACAGCTCCACCCTTCATTAGCTGGGGCAAGGATCATGGGACCTCCCCTTTTTAGATTCTACTTTTACAGGTTCAAAAAAAAACTTAAACCAGATGTTGCAAAGAACATGTTCCGACTGGTGCATACATGAAAGAAGTCTCTTGAGCGAAACTGATAAGAAGGTATAACACAACCTAAAGTGAAAATACCTTAGAAGACAAATGGCTTCTCGATCACTTGAGACCCACACCACCGATGAATTAAAACCTCTTGGTGAATAGACTAGTGTGGTTGGTCACTCACATTGCAATTTAAAAAAAAATGCAGAAGCGGTACACTTAGAATATTGTCTTCATGTCAGAAATACACCCTTGTGCCTGAAAATGATAAAAAATTACAATCGATCCTTACAACTGTTCTGTTCATCTTTATTGATCAGGTGCAAGAAAGATAAATCGCAGCCCAAATAAGATTATAGTAAATGTTAGCATCATAGGAGACTCGAGGTTGATAGAGAGCCATTCATCATCCCAAATGGTGACCCTTCCATGGCTTCGGCCACCTCGAGTCGGCTGTCTAATCACATACCTATTGATTTTATCTGCAGCCAACAAACCTGGATGTGACTGTCATGAGCAACCCAGATTGTTCAATGTGAAGGGGTTACCAGTGTGAGGAGGGTTTCATTTTCATTTTCTCACCAACCAACAATGATTTATGAAAAAATAAACCACCCCAAGTCATGCATGTGAAACCCGAGTGATTAGGGAGTGAGAAGGCACAATAGACTCCTGGATTTCTTTGTGTCCTTTTGTGCAACATTGCATTTTGCAGGTTATTTCATTGAGTGTAGGCATGTGGGTCATTCAGGCCACCCATTCTGAAGTAAGACAGGTTTCAAAGTCACTAGCCAGGATGGGTAATTTTTAGTTGTGCTGCCTCAGGAAAGGCAATGCTGTGCTACTGCAACTTGATTTATGTTGCTAATGAGTCCATTCAGGTGGTAGTGGATATATTGTGTTGGTATAAAAGTTACCTTAATCTGGGCCTCCCCAGTGGCGCAGCAGTTGAGCGCTGGGTTGCGAAGCTGCCTGCAGCCTCTGCAGCACTGGTTCGATCCCCGGCTGCCGGGCGAGGGTCCCACCTGGCACGCAGACCTCTCCTGCTGCCCGCTGTGCCCTTCAGCAGTGTACTTTGTCAATCTGCCTGCTCTGCTCTCCCCTCTGGCTCTGGTGAATTCTCTTACCCTCCTGCGCTTCTGACTGTACCCAGTGCTTATATAAATAAATAAATAAATCTTTAAAAAATTTAAAAAAACCTAAATCTGTCCCCTTGTTTTTAGTGACTTTTTTATTATAATTGTTGGTGCTCTTGAGGTTGTGTGGAAGTGATAGAACACAGACCACTCGGTAAGAATTTATCTTGACAAAAATATTCTATTAGAAGGAAATGGTTCTCAAGCATCCTTAGAGGCACACTGGAATAATAGGCAGATGTGATATGTGTGAATGTCATGATTCCATCTCAAGCATCCTTTGATCTTGCAGTGGTAGATTCTGAATAAAGGAGATCTAAATAATCTTTCAAAAATGTTAGGGATTTTCTCTGAAGGATCAATAATGGTGGACTAGCACTATAGTAAACTATAGAGTAAGTTACTCTGTGGTTGTAACAGGCGTGTCAACAATTGTATGGTTATTTAAATGGAAACCTATTTACATGTGCTCTTATAGGTATTCATGGGGCTTATGCAAGAAACCTTTCTCCTGCTTGAGTGACTGAAATGAGATTTTATTTATTTTTTGAATAAGTCTTACACACATTTTATCCTCTTAGTGAAAACTCTATCAATCTCTGTCCACAGAGCTCTGAGTTCTACAAAGTCACCACTGAGCAATATCAGAAAGCTGCTGAAGAGGTGGAAGCAAAGTTCAAGTAAGTTCCTTTCTTTTTTTTGCCTTTCACAAAAATTTAAATTTAATAGACATAAAATGCAGAACTGTTAAAAAAAATAGAAGGTGAGATTATGGGTTTGGTGATACTTTTTAGACAGAACATGAAGCCATGAGAAGATAAGCCAGGACTGGGAGAAAAAATTTTTTTTTTCATTTTAATAAAAATATTTATTACGCATATATCATGAGGTCTTGTCGATGCAATTACAAATTTTATTTATATCTATATATATGTTTTACATCATTCTTCCTTTGTGCACAATATATGCTTTCTCCTTTCAGGTATAGTCCCTTATAATTCCCACCACCAATTCTATTGGATGGTTTCACTTATAGGAGGAATGTAGGGGAACCAAATAAGAGATCAGGAAAAAATAATAATTATACTAAATTAAAAAACAAAATTAACAGGCAACTATAAATCAGAGACATTCAGCAGGGGAGGAAAGAGCACAAGGGACTATGGTGATGATGCACGGGTGACTTGGTGGTGAGAATTATATGGGACTATGCCTGAGAGTTTCTAATAGTATTAAACTATTTACTCTTCATGACAAGATGAATGTGCTATTATATTGCTTTTTGAACTGACCATAGTTTGTGAATCAACCACTCTGAAATACTTGGAAGTGTTTTTGGGGGGGCTGAGATAGAGGCAGGTGATTTGCTCTACTGGAATTCAAATGCAAGGAAAGGGCATTTGAGGAAAGCTTGTGGAAACTCAGTCTGTTTTATGAACCAAGGGGAAATTGGAAGCAGTGGTACTAGTAAGTGAAAAGTATATAAGGCAGGTTGTCTTTGATTATGTAGTTGCTGTTAAATTGCTACCTCTATTAATAGAAACATAGAAGCCATTCACTTTTGTATAACAAAATGACAGTCATGTCCAAATTTGGGCATCTGCCTTTTTCATGTCTAATCTGTTTTCCTTTCTTCACACATTTAAACCATTTAAATCTGAGATTTGATTTGGCCCTTGATTTTGTTAGCGATGTTAAATTACTACCTCTATTAATCCTCAGAATGTTTACATGAATGTTCTCTAATGGATGCATCAAAGTATCCATGACCCATAGCTCTGTAGCTGCCCTTGGCTGCCACTTCTCGTATTAGGTAAGAAGACGTCATTCAGAGTTTTCCTGAGTGTATAAAGACTTCTATTGTGTAGCCCCTGTTAGTGGCACATGGGCAAATTAGTGAAGCCAGAGCGAGTGTTATTGCAGATTTAGTTGAAAGATTGCTTCGGGCTCTGACCTCCTTCCTTGCTCGTGTTTATAAACATTGGATAAAATGATTAAACTCTAAGGTAGAGTTATTGCTTTCTGCAATAGTATAATTTGTGTGGTAGTGCATATTAATGTTATTTTAATGCTTTTTTTCCCCCTAAAGATGTTTTTGTAAACACCATTTGAGGTATTTTTAAACAGACAAAACACCTGAAGATTCCTTAATGAACTATCTCTTCAGGCGCATCAGGGAGAGACCTTCTAAGAAGGGGCCACATAGCTCACTCTTAAAGGATAATGTGTTATTTTAAAATTTTAGATGTAGAATTATGTAGACTTGATTTTTTTTTTTTAAAGATTTATTTTTATTTATATAAGCACTGGGTATAGTCAGAAGTGCGGGAGGGTGAGAGAATTCCCAGAGCCAGAGCCGGGAGCAGAGCAGGCAGAAGGACCGAAGTACACTGCTGAGGGGAGCAGCGGGTGGCAGGAGAGGTCTGCGCGCCATGTGGGACCCTTCCCCGGTGGTCGGGGAGCAGCCGGGGATTGAACCGGCGCTGCAGAGGCTGCGGGCAGCTTCGCAACCCAGCGCTCAACCACTGCGCCACCGGGGAGGCCCTAGACTTGATTTTAAAAGGTGCTATGAGTATGTATTTTTAAGCTGTCTCCGTCTTTCCCTCTAATGATAAAGCCACCCTTTGTGACCTTTTTGTCTCTCTAGTATGAGGACTTTTGACTTGCTGCCCTGGGTATTTCTTCATTGTGGGTGATAGCCATACACATCACAAAAATTTAAGATAAATCAGAGGAGAGCAGTTCATCACAAAAACCAACCATTTAGGTGGGACTTGAAGAAGCATATTGAATAATGGTTAGGGAACGTATCTAGAAGGACATGATGCCTTATAATTGGTGGGTCATGAGTTAATATCAGTGGCCTGATTTAGAGAGACTAGTGCAGAATAAATGTGTAAAGCTCAGTAGGCCATTCACTGCCGGGCGAGAAAGTGCAGTCTGAGTTTAGCCAGAAGTCACTGGAAGGTGTTTGACCAGATGACTGCACTGATTTCTGTGTGTGTTAGGAATGTTGCTCCATTCTGGATGTGAGGTACCAGAGGCCATGCTGAAAAAGAGCCAGAAGCACCAGACGGATGGGTGACCTCTAACAGTGAAAGAGGAAAAAGAGACAGATGCCAGATTAGACATGAATTAGTGATTGTTGGTGTATTTGTGTGCAAGGGTTTCTGTAACAAAGTACCACATTTGTTTTCTCACTGTCCTGGAGGATGGAAATTCAAGATCCAGTTGTCAGCAGGCTTGGTTTCCTCTGGGGTGTCTCTTAACTTGTATGTGATTGGCTCCCCTAGTGTCTTTGCTGGCTCCTCCCTCTGTGTCTGTGTTGTAATCTCCTTTTGAAAGGACATTGGTCAGTTTGGATTAGGACTCAAGTTCATCACTTCATTTTAACTTAATTGGCTCTTTCAAGACCCTCTCCCCAAATCCTTTTCTTTTTTTTTTTTTAAATATTTATTTATGCATACAAGAACTGGGGTATAGGCCAGAGGTGTGGGGGGTGGGGTGAGAGAATTCACCAGAGACAGAATGGGGAACAGAAGAACAGGTGCACCTACTGAAATACACTGCTGAGGGGAGCAGCCGGTGAGTCACAAGAGGTCTGCTGTGCCATGTGGGTAGCTCCCTGGCCGGGGATCCAACTCATGCTGCAGTGGCTGCGGACAGCTTCATAGGTTGCGTCTTAACCCCTTGTGCTACCAAGGAGGCCCTCAAATACACTTTCTGAATACTGGGTGTTAGGACTTAAACTTATGAGTGGGGGTGGGGGTAGGAACATAATGCAGTTCCTAAGGCTTGGATAGAAGGGGCAAAGGGGAGCAAGAAATATGAGCATAGCAGACATTCAACATTCAGCTTAGTAACTGAATGTTGCTAGAAGTTGAATTCTGTAGAAAGAGGTAAGTCTGGTTTTCAATGAGAGATGGAATCTCTTCTGAAACCCTTCCAAATGCCATGTTATTCAGCCTTAGGTCGCCGACTGCAGAATGAGATGTGACGTGGAGAACAAATATAAGTGTCATGATGACTTACCATCTCCAAGACAGCATAGACCTGTGGATTAGGCTTAGCTTTCAACAAAACCTCATATCATTCTCTTTTCCTTATGAGATATTATATACTAGAGAATTTGACCTTTTCCAAAAAGGAGCCCGGCCTGTATACCCAGATCATTGGAGGTAGCCGCTAAACTCTTGGAATGTCCAAGTGATAGACGTGTCTGCCTACTCACATCCCCTTGGGCTATGTGGTATGAGTCCAGCCTCTGGGGTAATCAGGTATATAATGAGGTCCTGGTAAAACCCTGGACACTGAAATTCAGGTGAACTTCTCCGGCTGATCATAATCTGTGCATATAGTCTGGCATCACACGTCAATGCCAGGAGGGGAAAGCGCCCTGAGGACAATGGACTCTGTACTGGAACCTTCCCAGACTCTGTCCTATATATATTCCTTTGGTGGATTCTCTGTATTATTTTTAATAATAACCATACTGCAAGCTCAATAGCTTTCAGTGACTTCTGTGAGTCCTTTTAGCAAATGATCAAAGCTTGGGGGTGGTTTGGGAAAAGCCTTGAACTTGCAGATATCAGAAGTGAGATAGTCTTAGAGACTCTACCCTCAGACTTTGCAATCTGACTAACTCCTATATCTACCAAGACCCAAGTTTTATATACCGAAGGAATTTCATAGGCAGTTTGTCAGGGGGTGACCTCCATTGTCACATTCTTTTTCACCCACCATCTGCAGACTGAGCTTCCTAGGATGTCGTATTTTAATTTGTAGTGAGTTCATTAGCTTCACCTTCACCAAGTGATGGTGTTTTGGCTGTAGAGATGCTTACCGTCTTTGAAGACACAGAGATTACTTAATGGAACTTTATTTTTCCTTAATATCTGGCCATCTCAGATAATCACTGCAGCTTCAGTCTTTTGCAAGGCAGTGTACTATATACTTTCCATTACATGACAGAGCAGATTTCCACTGTTCCTTTTAGCAACAAGCTCTGAAGGACTTTGAAGAGGATTTGGTTAATTTTAGGTAATGGAAGGATTCATTTGGGTTCAGCATGGTTACTGGAGATGGAAGCTTTTTAAATTGCAATTTCAAGGGCAATATTATACACCTGATAGGGGGCCACACAAAAACTCACTGTGAAGAGAAAGAAAGCTAAGAGCTTTTGAGATTACGCGTGGTGAACATTAGTCACGTGGCTGCATCCTGCCAGGATAACTAATGGAATTATTTTAGGGATGCTTAAATATTAACTCACACTTCAGTCCTTCAGTTTATAGTTTTGGCAGTAAACCATTAAAACACTTTTGATTTAATGGAATTTTTTTTTCTCCTCTCCTATCAACACGTCATTCATTAAGCATGCCTCTGCATGACACACCCTCTGTCAGGTTTGAATTCTAAAGCGGGGAAGGAAATAGGTCGGGTCTTAACCAGCATGGAACTTAGACTTCCTGGAGGAGCGCAAGAGGAAGACAGAATTTTAAAATAATAGCTTTTTAGAAAATCCAAAGTTAGTTCTGCTGTGATGGAATAGCTGTATCCCTAATAAATACCAAGTTATTAAAAAGCTATCAGTTTGTGGTAGGAATGAATTTGGAGATAAAGAATTTGTGCTGTTTTTTTTTTTTTTTGGCTGCAAGTTCTTTTTCCTACAATAGCTCTG